TATAAGGTCTAAGTGTCACATATAACGTCCAAATGTCACATATAAGGTCCAGATATCACATATAAGGTCTAAACGTCACATATAAGGTCTAAATGTCACATATAAGGTCCAAATATCACATATAAGGTCTAAATGTCACATATAATGTCCAAATATCACATATTTGGTCTAAATATCACATATAAGGTCTAAATGTCGAATAGTATATTGACATGTCACATTTACAGTTCCCGGGTTTGTTTCCATCACCTTCATTTGGTACCTAAAAATGTTGGTTAAATCACAAATAACTTGTTAAATAATGAATATCTAAATATCACATGTAATACTCAAACGTCACAAATAAGGTCCAAGTATCACATATAAGTTCCAGATATCACATATAAGGTCGAAATATCACATATAAGGTCTAAAGGTCACATGTAATGTCTAAATGTCACATATAAGGTCCAAATATCACATATAAGGTCTAAATATCACATATAAGGTCCAAATATCACATATAAGGTCTAAATGTCACATATAAGGTCTAAATGTCACATAGAATTTTGACATGTCATATTTACAGTTAAGTGTGATAGATATACGTTCTAAAGGAGACATCAACAATTCGCTTGGACTAACCAGGATAGTAAATCATATGAATGCCTTGCGCAACCAAATATTTGGTCTTTTGCCGTCTCCTTAGCACGCCAAGCTTTAGAATAATTAACTCTTAATCCATATTGAGAGTGCAATTCCTTTCTAATGTCAGTTGGGGTAATATATGGACGCCTCTTCATAACTGATTGTAGCATACTCGCAATCCACCTTCTTGATGCTCTGAAGTGACCAGCTGTGCTGTTATGTTGTCCGCATGTATGTTGAGGAACAAATTTTTTTATAGCAAAGGTTGACACATTCCTCAATGGTGAAGCGAAAAGCAACCACGGGCATTTTGTTTCTTTTCTGAACATGCAACTAGCACGAATACGTTTTGGCTCATTGTTAACATAATTAAAAGCAAACTTCTTAGCTATAGAGTAGTATATAAGAGCCATTCTAACTTCTTTTGCACTTTCAAATTGCTGCCCTTTTCCAGTAATTGCCTCGTGCCACCATGCTGGGATCCGTGACGAGTCACTTACTACATCGTTCATCATCCACACATGCTCTCCTTGAGGGTTGTCGTTTGGGATCCTCTCTGATTCCTCGATTGTGATCCTCTCATAAGGTTCCTCGATATGCTCTGATGACTGTGTGCTAACATTAGGAACACTGCAGGTTGAAAGATAAGGTCACAAGTAAGTCACGTGTGATACTTACCAGTAAAGTCACATATAAGACCTAAGTATCACAAATAAAGTCCATATGTCACAAATAAAGTCAACTTGTCACGTTGGATGTCTTCAGGTCACATATATAACGTAATATGTCACGTGTATCCAGAACCTGAAAATATATTTTTGAATACTTACCTAAGCTCCGTTTCTGTCCCTATGGCATGAGTGGGTCCTTCATCTCTTTTAGTAACAGTCATGGTTACTGTATTTAACCCCATTGAACGATGATAATCTATCATGTTGAGAATATCTTCATCTTTTGAAAGCTCAAATGAGACATTGGGAAACTTCTCGATAGAGTAACTTATCAACAAACTTTCGTACAATTCTCTAAAATTCTCTGCAACGATCATCTTCAATTCAGCAAATATTGTTGTCGAATTGACTTTAATGAGGGTTGCATTACTGTTAAATGAAATCACACACATTAAGGAATCTTCCATTGTGGTTGCTGAAGAAGTTAAGAGGAAAAAGTTAAGAATATAAATGGTTGTTGAAGGTCTTAGTAGTAGATCTAAAGAGGGAAGAGTATATATTACATTGAAATGAGGCATGAACAATTTTGGAGGGAACTTAGTATCTTTTTCCCTCCATTTTTCCCTTTTCCCTCCATAAAACCTCTCTCTAGCTAGTGTATAGATAGAAACGGAAGTGACTTCAAATCTGACTTCCGATTTGATAGGTTGCTTTTCTGGCCAACAAGATAAAAAAACTCACCAGGTATTCCCAAAATCGGAGGAGTACAAAGGGTAAAAAGGGCAATTGGCAAAAATACACTATAAAGTATATATACAATCTTGGGTTTGGGGTGTAAAAGCATTAAAACTTGGGTCAAGGTGCCCCCAAGTGGTTGACTTTAGTTGGAGGGTGGGGATGAATGACCCAAATTAAGTTGGTTCCCCCAAGCAATTTTCCCTTAAATATTTATACGAAAACATACACACAACCATCTAACATCCCTCATGACCAATTTACATAAGAGAGGTTACTTTGGCAACTTCTTGTTTCAATTAATCATTTGGAATGAGAGACAAATATAATACCTTAGTGTCATATTATTTGAATTAAATAATTAATTAACTACCAATTTTAATTCAAATTAAAAAATTTAATTCAAATTTAAAAAATTTCAAAAAACTTAATTAGGGCCTCATAGCTTAATTAATCAAATTAAGCATACCAAAAATGGGCCCAAAACCAAATAGAGTTAAGTGGGTTGTGCCCTAACTCAAATTGCCTGCAGCCTTCTTATTTCACCCGATGGAAAAGAAGAAGAATAGAATGAACGCGAGGTTCGTTTGAGAACGAACGCGGGGTTCGTTTTAAGTGAGCATGAGACTTGCCTGAGGATGAACGCGGGGTTCGACTTGAGAACGAACGCGAGGTTCGACTTGAGAACGAACGCGAGGTTCGTTTGGATTGAGCACAAGGCTCGCCTGAGGATGAACGCGGGGTTCGATTTGAGGACGAACGCGAGGTTCGACTTGAGAACGAACGCGAGGTTCGACTTGAGAACGAACGCGAGGTTCGACCTGAGAATGAACGTGATGAACAAACGCAATGTTCGTCTAAAACGAACGCAAAGTTCGTCCTGAGAATGAACACAGGGTTCAACTTGAGAACGAACACGAGGTTCGTTTGAATCGAGCACGAGGCTTGCCTGAGAACGAACGTGAGGTTCGTCTGAATCGAGCACAAGGCTCGCCTGAGAACGAACACGAGGTTCTTTTGAATCGAGCGCGAGTCTCGCCTGAGAACGAACGCGAAGTTCGTCTGAATCAAGCACGAGGCTCGCCTGAGAACGGGTAAGTCCTCAAGCCCTAATTTTTCTTTCACCCGTTAGGGTTCATATCTGAAACACCACCGCCACTTAGGCTGTAGCTAACGAGCACCCCTTAGGGTTTCGTTTTGAAAACCGCCACCGCTGAAACAACTCCGGCGAGGAGTTTTGGTAAACGATGACAGATCAAAAGACAAAAAAAATAATTTTTCTGTCAATTTTTAAACTCAATCATTCAGATCCAAACCTCAAAAATTGAATCAAATACAAAAGAAATGAACTTTAGAGTTCATAAGTGCTAAAGATCCAAAATTGAAAGAAAAACCAAACAAAAAAGGAAATCTGTACTGTTCATCCAAACAGTAACAAATCAAAACCGTTACTGTTCATTCATGAACAATTCTAAAAAAACACAAATTAATATCAAAGAACCCTAATTTTAATCTTAATCTCTTAGAACAAATCACGATGGCTCTGATACCACTTGTTAGATCTAATATTTGAGATCTAAACCATAAAGTCATGATTAATTCAAAGAGATTAACAAGAATTAAAAGGTGCGGAAACATATACCTGAATCCATTAAGGAAAACCTGATTAGGGTTTTGATGATCTTATAACCTTAGGGTTTCTCCTTTTGGATCTCTTTAGATGGGGATTAAGAGAATAGAGAATGTTAACCCTATATTAAGGACCATAACCCCTTATTTATAGGTGTTGTACATTTGTAATTTGGCCTCTCATCAAATTACAATTACAACCTGGTATCTGCACATTTAGCCGATGATTTATTTAAATACTCATTAACCCAAATTGATTGATCACTTTAGTGAGTTATCCTGAATGATAGCAATACACACAGATTAATTATATGTGCTCACAAATAGATTTAATTAGATTTAAATCCAACAAACCAAACAGGTTGGAAATAATAATCTATAAGGTCTTAATGGGCTAAAAATATTAGGAATCTCAAGTAATCGTTAGTGCTTTGAGTTGATTTGATGAGCAACTTTTGTTCTAAACGCGCAAATGTTTCTTTTATGGGCTTCTACTTAGTAGCTCCTTTTGAGTATTTGAAACTAATCCCAGCCTTTCTTTCTTTTTGTTTCACTGTTTAGTTGACAGAAGAAGACAGCTCGTACCATTTTTGATGATGATAATGTTTCTCCGGCAAGTGAGTACTCAATCAAGAAATATGTTCTCTTTACAGGAGAGTCGATGTCGATACAGAAACTCCCTGACCTGGAAACAGAATACGAAATTTCTGCACATTTTCATGGCTCTGTTCCATCTTTCAGGTTTCAGCTTGACTAGATGTACCGAGGCGTATTCTTACACTAGAAATTTTTTGTATTTAGATTAGAAATTATTGTTCGAAATGCACGCATTTAGTTATCTGTAGTCGAAGCGAATGTCGAAGGTCTCATTTTCTTCTCTTTTTTTTCTTTCGCTTTTGTCGTTAGTTTCCTCATCTCTCTTAGATTACTTTGGCAGTGTTGATGCTAATGCCTTTATTTGTTGGAAGCTACAAATGAATTCGGTGTTTGTTTGTTAGTTTGCTGGCATTAGTCTGTTAGTTTGCTGGTTACTCTGTTTTGTTAGTTTACTTCTGTTTAGTTTAAAGTTAATAATTCCTAGTTGTAGGATCAAGTTTGTTATTTGGTTATTTCTTAAGTTACTAGGATTACGATTTGGTTTGTTAATCGTTATTGAATTAGTTTTTTTTAGATTCCTTGTAAAAGGCTATTTAAGCTTTCTTTTGCTTCAATAAGAATGTGGAGAACATTCACCAATCTGTGTGAGTTTACTGCATAGAGAGTTTTTTATGTTCTAACAGTGGTATCAGAGCGAGGGAAAAGGGAGCCTGAGTGTGTGTGAGAGAAATACTCATTGTAATGGCAGCGGAGTACTCAAGCAACTTCACACAACCATGCGTTCCCAAATTTGATGGGGACTATGATCATTGGAGCCTGATCATGGAGAATCTTCTTCGATCGAAGGAGTATTGGAGTGTGGTTCAAACCGGATACAAGGAGCCAGGAGAAGAAGAAGTGTTGTCGACTGCATATCAGAAAGCTTTAGATGACGCCAAACTGAAAGATTTGAAGGCGAAAAACTATCTTTTCCAATCCATTGACAAGTCTATCCTGAAGACAATCACACGGAAGGAGACGGCGAAGCAATTATGGGAATCAATGAAAGTCAAGTATCAGGGTAATGCTAGGGTTCAACAAGCACAACTTCAAAGGCTTCGGAGAAGTTTCAAGATTCTAGAAATGAAGATAGGAGAGTCAATTACTGACTATTTTAGGAGAGTGATGATAGTCGCCAACGATATGAGGAATTGTGGCGAAGACATGCCTGATGTCAAAATCGTAGAGAAAGTTCTTCGTACACTCACGGAAAACTTTAACTACGTAGTGTGCTCGATTGAGGAGTCGAAAGATATCGACCAACTCATGGTCTATGAATTACAGAGTTCCTTGCTTGTTCATGAGCAAAAAGTTTGATAAAGAGGAGATGACGAACAAGTGCTCAAAGTTGAATATGAAAACTCGGGTGCACGCAGAAGAGGAAGAGGGGCTGTGAGGGGCAGCGGAAGCATGCGAGGAAGAGGGAGAGATAGAATGTTTAACAAGGCAACCATAGAGTGTTTTAAATGTCATAAACTAGGACACTTCCAATATGAGTGTCCTAGCTGGGAAAAGGCAGCAAATTATGTGGAGATTGATGATAAGGAAGAGTTGTTGTTGATGGCTCACATTGAACTCAATGGTACAATAAGAGAAGGTGTCTGGTTTCTTGACTCGGGATGCTCCAACCATATGACAGGAAATAAGAAGTGGTTCATGGACTTTGATGAAAGTTTTAGGCACACAGTGAAGCTGGGAAATATCTCAAGAATGCCAGTGATGGGGAGAGGCAGCGTCAGACTTGAGGTCGAAGGTATGACTCAAATAATAACTGATGTGTTTTTCATTCCTGATCTTACCAACAATTTACTAAGCATTGGTCAGTTACAAGAGAAGGGATTGACTATTATAATCGGTGAAGGTGTCTGTAAAGTCTATCATCCACAAAGGGGTCTTATTGTGCACACGCAGATGACAACTAATTGGATGTATGTTTTGCTTGCTTACACAAAGCCATGCTTCTCAAGGTGTTTACAAGTAGAGAAAGATGATGATACCAGCCTATGGCACAAAAGATACGGTCATTTGAACAACAAGAGTCTTTGTACCATGCAATATAAACAACTTGTGAGGAGTTTGCCACAGTTCAAAGTAGCAAACAAGGTGTGTGGTGTGTGCAATGTGGGAAAACAACATCGTGAAACTATACCAAAAAAAGTAATTGGAGAGCATCAGAAAGGTTACAACTAATTCATACAGACTTGTGTGGTCCTATCACATCCATGTCGAACAGCAAGAAGAGGTACCTTTTGGTTTTTATTAACGACTTTCGTAGAAAACTCTAGATATATTTCTTAGTTGAAAAGAGTGAAACATTTGCTATGTTTAAGAATTTCAAGAAATTAGTTGAGAAAGAGATAGGGAAGAGTATTTGTTGTTTATGAACTGACAGGGGAGGAGAGTTTACGTCGAACGAGTTCAACACTTTCTGTGAAGAACAAGGCATAAAAAGGCAACTTATGACTTCCTATACTCCGCAACAAAATGGAGTAGCTGAGCGCCGAAACCACACTATCATGAACATGGTCCGGTGTTTATTGACAGAGAAGGAGATGTCCAAGACTTTTTTGCCAAAGGTAGCTAGATGGACAGCTCATGTGTTGAATAGAAGTCTAACGGTGACTATGAAGGATAAGGTTCCTGAAGAATGTTGGAGCGGCATCAAACCAAGTGTGGATCATTTTAGAGTGTTCGGGTGCATTGGCCATGTACACATTCCTGAGAAGAAAAGATTAAAACTTGATGATAGAAGTCACAAATGCGTACTTCTTGGTGTAAGTGATGAATCAAAAGTTTATCGATTGTATGATCCGATTACAAAGAAAGTGATCATAAGCCGAGACGTAATTTTTGAAAAGAATGAACAATGGAATTGGGGAATGAGCTCAGAGGAAGCCAAGCTTGATGTTCTAGACTGGGGAGATGGAGAAGATGATCCAGTGCATGAAAATGAAGCAAATGAGGCAGAAGAGAGTCCACTGGAGATAAGTATCGAACCTAAAAATTCATCGGAACAAAGTATATCAAACTCACAAGAAGAGACAGATCGGCGAGAAGAGAGAGTTCGGCGAGCACTAGCATGGTTACAGGACTACATAAGTGGAGAGGTGTTATCAGAGGAAGAAGGTGATCAGAACGTGGCACTATTCATGTCACATGAAGAACCAACCTGCTTTTAGGAAGCTGCTAAAGAAGAAAAATGGAAGGATACAATGAAGCTTGAAATAGAGGCCATCGAGAGAAATAATACCTGGGAGCTTGTACGTTTACCTATAGGAGCTAAAAAGATTGGAGTGAAGTGGGTCTTCAAGATCAAATTAAATGAAAATGGTGATGTTGACAAGTACAATGCCAGATTAGTTGCAAAAGGCTATGCACAGAAGTAAGGTGTTGACTACAACGAAATATTCGCTCCAGTTGCTCGTTGGGACACAATAAGAATACTGTTAGCTGTGGCTGCTCAAAGAAGTTGGTTGGTGTACCAGCTTGACGTAAAAAGTGTCTTTCTATATGGAGAATTGAAAAAAGTAGTATACGTTGAGCAACCAGAGGGGTACATCAAAGAAGGGGAGGAAGACAAAGTGTATAGACTCAACAAGGCATTATATGGACAAAAACAAGCTTCTAGGGCCTGGTTTAGTCGAATTGAGAGTTATTTTCTCAGAGAAGGATTCAAGAGAAGCAGCCATGATTACACATTATTTGTTAAAAGAGAAGAAGGTGAAAAGCTTCTGATGGTGAGCCTCTATGTTGATGATTTGATATATGTAGGTAATGATATTGGTGTGTGTGAAAAGTTCAGGAACTCAATGAAACTAGAGTTCGAGACGACCGATCTTGGAAAAATGAGATATTTCTTAGGTGTGGAGGTCCAGCAGAGTTCTAAGCGAATTCATTTGTGCCAAAAGAAGTATGCAAGAGAAGTTCTGGAGAGGTTCAAAATGTTGAATTGCAATCCTGTGAAGAATCTGATAGTACCTGGAACTAAGCTATCCAAAGAAGACGGTGGTGCAGATGTAGATGCAACATTGTACAAACAATTAGTGGGGAGCTTGATGTATTTGACAACAACCAGGCCATATATGATGTACGTTGTGTGTCTTATTAGTAGATTTATGGCCAAACCAAATGAGGAACACTTACAGGCAGCAAAAAGGGTGCTCAAGTATTTGAAAGTGTGAGGACCTGAATCCTCGATCGGTTCCTTTGGGGATGATTCTGGCCATGATGAGCCTGAAACAAGATTGAAACAGTTTTTGCAAGAGGGAAAATTGAGAGAGAATTGAAAGAGAGGGAACAGAGAAAAAAAATTGTAAACTGAGTTGAGGAGAAAGAAATCAATTCATTTCATTCATATCATAAGTGTTTGATCCTTACAACCTTCTATTTATACAACTCAACTTCAAAGCTTAGAAAACAAAACGTGCTCAAACAGTTTAACAGAAAAACAGATTCAGCTAACTGTTTGCAAGACAACCCCTGTAGTTCAAAGTCTTTACCAGTCAGCCCCAAACTCTGTATATCAGTCCTGAACTTTGCGTATCAGTCCACAGCGTTCAAGTCCTCAGCTTCAGCTTCCAGGTTCTCAGCTTTCGAAGCTCTTGACTCAATCGACTGGTTTCCAACTGATGATCGGTTCCTAACAATTCCCTCCCCTTAACTTTGACCTTGTCCCAAGGTCAAATGTATGAAACTTTTTAACCTTAGTTGGGGACTCCGTAAAGAAAAGAGTCACTTTATTTTCACACAATGCTCTTTTAAGAGAGCCCATATCAGCAGGAGCAATAACGACAGCCTTAATTCCCCTCTTTGGAAGCTCATTCTCAATTAACATCCTTGTCTTCCTATAACAACCAGTGGTTGTAACGATATGGCCACCTGTAGGAACCAGGGCTGAGAGCACCGCACAACTGACATACATGCCAGAGGACACAAACAAAGTAGTTTCTGCCCTCTCTAATTCACTCATCTTCCTCTCCAATACCTTGGTAATTGGGTTCCCATATCGCCCATACTCAAAGCTTGTATGCCCACCCTCCTTGAAATCAATCAGCTCATCACAGTTCTTAAACCAGTACGCAAAAGTGTTGATTGAATTCGTCTTCAGACAGCATCCATATCTCTCTACAACATAAGACTCATAGGATTCGTCTCCTTCCTTAGGTAGATTCATAACGAGGCTTGCCAGAATTTGACCAGATATATTTGAGCAAAGATTTACTGATGCCACCTTATAAATCTGTTCTCTCACTTCAGTGCTAAAACCGGTAACCTCCATATAGCTACCCTTCTTTCCACATTCTCCATCACAACCCTTAGAAACTGATTGAAATGGTACTAAAGAAATATCCTGGTCTTCATATCCCATTGATCGTGCAATCTTCTTGAAGGAATTAAATTTCTTGTGTGCAACATAGATATTTTCTTGGTAGACCCCATCTGCTAGGAGAACAAGACCTTCTTTTTTGCAGAATTCCACTATTTGTCGCTGGTTTTCTTCTGCAAGAACCTGCTCGGTTGGATTCGTGGGATTTATGACTACAAGTGCCCTGACAGTTATACCCTTTGATCGAGCATCTTCCACTTGCTTCTTAAACTCAGAAATCTCCAGTCCCCACCTTATTTCTTCAACGAGGTAATATCGGACAAAATGGTCGCCATGAAGAGCAATCGAAGCAGAGTATAAAGGATATTGAGGTATGGGGCAGAGGATGCCATCTTTCTCTGACCTCGACAGTAATTGCATCATCATGTGGACAGCAGGGCTCGCTCCATCGGTTGAGAATATATCTTCTGCTTTGCAAGGATAACCATTACGAGCAGCAATTCCAGCTGCAATTGCATCATGTAATCCTTTGATACCCTGGCTGTGAATGTATGCACCTGTAGCTCGACCAGGAATCTGGTCTAGGATCTGCCAAGCTCTTGCTATGGAATCCACACTGAATAAGGCATGAGTTTCATCTCTGTCCAAAATTGTTGGATAATCACACAAAGCAAGAACCTCTCGGAAAAAAGTAACTGGCTGCTGGTCTAGAGACTGTGGATTCCCAATGTTGCAATTAAGTATCTCAACAGAGGGATGGCTACCTGGTTTCTTTTGTAGCTCTTCTTGAAGGCGCTGAGCATTGATAACGATCTCTCCACGAACAACATACTCACATTCCACAACCTTTTGCAATTCCTCATCGGCAGACGGCGAGTTGGCCCAAGAGGCCGCGACGACCTGAGCAATTCCGATGTTGCTGCAGTTCCGACGAGCCTTGTTGCTGAGCTGGCGAACAAAATTAGGCGGAAACTTGAGGATGAGAACTGAGGAGAAGCCGTAACCGTTCGAAAATGGCGATTTCTTGTTGGGTTTTTTCTTCTTCTTCCTTGAGATTGGCCATGGTGGGTTCTTGAGCTTTGACTTTCTCTTGCTTGAGATTGGCCGTGGCGGATTCTTGAGCTTTGACTTTCGGTGGAAACGAGAAGACTGCGGCTTCTTCGTCTTCTTCTTTCTTGCATCAGATGTTGGAGGTCGGTGGAGACGAGAAGATTGTGGTTTCTTCATCTTCTTCTTCCTCCGCGAATGCCTTAAAGACCCCTGCAGTTTCTTGATGGATCTCAACGGCTCTTTGAGGCATTTCGTCGAACACCTTTGTTGAGTTTTCTTGGAAGAAATAGTTACAGGAGTTGGGGTTTGATGAGAACGAAGACATTTATTGTACTTGTTGCTGCTGCTGCTTAGATCGCTTCTCATTGGAGTTGACTTCGGCATTGAAGAGAGAGGAGTTGCCTTCGGCATTGAAAGAACACCAGTGAAATCAAACTTCCTCTGAGATTGATGGACGTTTTTAGTGAAATCAAACATGGGTTTTCTTGATTCGCTTCTTGATTCTGAGCTCAAGATTCGCCGATTGTTCCTCGTCTCTGACCCAACGATTCCTTGGCCCAGATTCTTAGAATTCCTAAATTCTTGAACCAGAAACATCAGCTCATCCATTTGTGCCATCAATTGATCTTGGGACTGACGCAATTGATATTGGGATCTATCAAGCTCGGACAGGGATCGATCAAGCTTTGACAGGGATCGATCATGCTCTGATACCAATTGTGAGGACCTGAATCCTCGATCGGTTCCTTTGGGGATGATTCTGGCCATGATGAGCCTGAAACAAGATTGAAACAGTTTTTGCAAGAGGGAAAATTGAGAGAGAATTGAAAGAGAGGGAACAGAGAAAAAAAATTGTAAACTGAGTTGAGGAGAAAGAAATCAATTCATTTCATTCATATCATAAGTGTTTGATCCTTACAACCTTCTATTTATACAACTCAACTTCAAAGCTTAGAAAACAAAACGTGCTCAAACAGTTTAACAGAAAAACAGATTCAGCTAACTGTTTGCAAGACAACCCCTGTAGTTCAAAGTCTTTACCAGTCAGCCCCAAACTCTGTATATCAGTCCTGAACTTTGCGTATCAGTCCACAACGTTCAAGTCCTCAGCTTCAGCTTCCAGGTTCTCAGCTTTCGAAGCTCTTGACTCAATCGACTGGTTTCCAACTGATGATCGGTTCCTAACAGAAAGGGACACTAGATTTGGGATTGTTTCACAAGAGCGGAACTGGTAGCGAGTTGAAGGCGTACACGGACAGTGACTACGCAGGAGATGTGGACGATAGGAGGAGTACGTCTGGGTATGTTTTCTTGTTGAACGAAGCTGCTGTATGTTGGAGTTCAAGAAAGCAGGCAATAGTTACTTTGTCTTCGACGGAGGCCAAATACGTGGCAGCAACAGCTTGTGCCTATCAGTGTATTTGGATGAAGGAAGTTCTTTCTCAAATTGGCTTCTCTCAATGTAAGTGTGTGGAGATCTTGTGTGATAATAGTTCTTCTATTAAGCTTTCAAAGAATCCAGTTATGCATAGAAGAACTAAACATATACACGTGAGATATCATTTCTTGCGTGATCTTACAAATGAGGGAGCTATGAAATTAGTTTTTTGTGGAACTGAGAACCAGGTTGCAGACATAATGACAAAGCATGTGAAGTTGGAAACATTTGTGAATCTTCGTCAACTTCTTGGTGTTTAAGCTTTGACTGATTAAACTGGATGCTTGTTAGCATTTCCAGTTTAGGGGAGGAATTTGTTGGAAGCTACAAATGAATTCGGTGTTAGTTTGTTAGTTTGCTGGCATTAGTCTGTTAGTTTGATGGTTACTCTGTTTTGTTAGTTTACTTCTGTTTAGTTTAAAGTTAATAATTCCTAGTTGTAGGATCAAGTTTGTTATTTGGTTATTTCTCAGTTTACTAGAATTACGATTAGGTTTGTTAATCGTGATTGAATTAGTTTTTTTTAGATTCCTTGTAAAAGGCTATTTAAGCTTTCTTTTGCTTCAATAAGAATGTGGAGAACATTCACCAATCTGTGTGAGTTTACTGCATAGAGAGTTTTTGATGTTCTAACATTCTTCAACTGAAAGTTGATTTAAGATGTACCCTGTTGAAAGGATGGGAACCAGGTGCCACAATGTAAGACTTATGGTGTGACTGTGATTGAGTACTCGAGTAATTTTCGAACGATACGGGTGTTTGATCTGCTGATGGTTTGCGACGTTTGGTGATTGACATTTGTAGAGATGAGGAAATAAGGTCTCATCAACAGGGTCTGTATGCATGGTAGTTGAATTCCTCAATACGTATTAATGGTTTAGTTGCGCATATATCGCCTTGTGGAATTCTTAGTGACCTTATCCATTGGAATTGAGGTAGATAGTAAAGATTGAGAGAACCAGATTCTCTCTAATTATCACATAATTAGAGAGGATCTGAATTATATCCCCTATAGTACTGCTGTTTTGAAGTTAATATCCTTCTAGGTCACTTTTGTGGTTAGTTCCGTGCTGCAGGTGGGTCCCACATGCTTCAAAGAGATGACAATCCCCTTTCCATTTGCAACCCCCCCCAAAAAAAAAAAAAAAAAAAACCTTTCCATTTGCAACCCCCCCCAAAAAAAAAAAAAAAAAAAAACCTACTGATTTGGAGAGGGTGTTCTCGTCATTTTTAAGAGTTATTATCTCGGGGTATATCTATAAAAATGAGGGGTAGGAAGTTAAAAACAGTTATAACACAGGGAGTTTATCACAATTAACACAATTATCTTTATTAATCTATGCTTATGTGAACTGTCGACAACTGAAAGGCATCAATTTAGGAAGGAGAGCGCACTAATGGGCCTAATCCACATTGGCCCACCACCTGATCCACATTGGCCCACCACCTGATGTGTGTGTTAATGGATTGTTTATTCGCAACTATTAAGATGCTGAATATTCGGCGGCTGGCAAGTAGGGCTATTAATCGGTTTGAATAGTGTGGTTAATAGGTGACATCGAACACTAAACCGATCTATTTTTTCGGTTCGGTTCGGTTCGGTTTTTCACTTATTTTTTCATAAACCAATTGTGTTCGGTTTAGTTCGGTTTGGTTTTTCTCTGGTTTATATCGGTTTTTTTCGGTTATTCTATAAAGAAAACAAGTCTAGAAAAGTAGAAAGTAGAAATGTCTCATATTACATAACCATTTCCGAAAAGAAAAGAAAAGAAAAGAAAATGAAAAAGGGCAGGCCACAATGCCACATAACAGTTTTCGAAAAGAAAAAAAGCGATGAAAAACTAGAATAGCAGAAACATGTAGATGATAGATCAGCACTTCAAGTTCAGCAGCAAGCTCCTCTATGATCAACATTTGGGGAAAGGGAAAGCTACAGTACCACGTGACAGAAGGGATTTCTTCGCCGGTGACGAGAGAACCCAAGATTTGGGGCCGATGGACGAGAGGGGACGAGATGGAGCGCGAAGGACCAAAAGCTCGTTGGGTTTGGGACTTTGGGGGCGATGGGAGAACTCAGATTCTCAGAAGCCCTAAAAATATAATTAAAATCTAATGTAGACTATGTAGTAATGTTGGAACGCAGGCCAAGGCCATCCTTTTTTTTTGGCTTCATTTAAGCCCAAGTTTGAAGTTTCTACATAAAATTTTATGTATATTAATGATATATATCTATAAATAATATAATTTTCTTACAATATATATAATCGGTTTTTTGGTTCGGTTTCGGTTTCCAGACATCTGAAACCAAAACCACACCAAACCTTTCGGTTTTCGGTTATTTTTTGGTTTGGTGCGGTTTTTTCTTTCCTCGGTTTTTTCGGTTATGGTTCGGCTTTGGTGTGATTATTTTTTCAGTTATCGGTTTTCAAGTTACAACCCTACTGGCAAGTCCATGCCAATATCAGGATAAGCATGTGCGCATGAGTTGCGGCGCCTTCTTTTTCTTTTTCTTTCTTTTTTTCAGATTATTTGTCTATTTGTACGTGCTGGATTATTGTATTTGGACACACAACTTGGGGTTGACATTGTGGCCTAGTTGGCGGTAGCACTTAGGATGGATTTATTGTAGTTTTTTTTAATAACTCGGTTGGGAATTCAGCCTAGAATTGTGAGAGCCACGTTAAAGCCTCCTAACCTTCTGGATCAGCCGCGGTGGATTGATGTAACATCTTGTTTTTTAACGGTTTTAGGTAAACAGTCATAGCTGAATGTTGAAATTAGGACATGGGTATACCAAGTTAATCCATAAGGTACCGTTTGGCAAAGGGTTAAGTGAAGAGTTAAGAAGACTTAACCCCTTCTTAACCCGCCAAACACAAAAACTCTATACAATGGTTAAAGTGAGTTAACCCTCTATAATTTGCCAAACATAAAAAATATAGAAGGGTTAAGCTAACCCCTCTAGAGGGATTAAAATGAGTTAACCCCTCAAAATAAGGGGTTTACTAATACTCCTATTTAGAAGGATTAAGAGTCAACCCTTCTAATTATTAAAAAATAGTCAAAATTAGTGTTATTCGCAAACACTAAAACTGATCACAATGGTTAAAATAAAACTTATTTAACGGGTTAATAATTCAGTTCTTCAGATTATCGAATGGGCTAAGTACATTAATGCTTCTCTTTAACCCCTTTTCCTTAACCCTTTTCAAACGGAACCTTAAATTACACTATTGGGTATTGATTTCAACCTTGATTTTTAAATAGATTACTCTTTCTAATATTTCACCAAACTGTCGTAACGTATCAACATCCATAGGATCTTTCATGGGATTAAGCATAACTTAGTCACTCTTATGCATGAACTTAGTCACTGTTACGCGAATCTCGAGCATCATCCATCATGCAATCATGCGTGAGTTGAATTTATTGTGGTGGTCTGAATAGACAAACCATGAATAGAAATGTTAGGGGCACACCCCTAACCACAATCTCAACCATACCTCTTCTCCCTCTATAGTCACTGTTACGCGAATTTCGAGCATTCTCATTTTTAATTATGCCCACGTGATTAGAAATTCTAAATGAGCTATTATTTAGAATTCCTGGTCAAATGAGCTACTAAATTCAAAGGTGTTAAATGCAAATGATCTATTATTTTCTTTAGTGGGATGGAGTGCGTATTGTTTCAATGTTGGGGGGCGTATTGTTTCAATGTTAGGGGCGAATTCTAATCACATGGGCATAATCAGTAAAAGTCCAAACGCCCAAACAGCGCTAAAAATCCAAAAACTCGTCACTCAAAGTTCTCTATTTTATCTATGGATCCAATTTTTGCAATCCCAAACTCAAAGAGACCAAAATGCTAACTTCCTGCATTTTCGTCAGATACTATAATTTTATAATTTTTTTTTACTTTTATTTTTAGGTAAATAGTCATTTGTGATCCTACCTCTCAAGAAATTTTTTCGGCTCCGCCGCCCACCAACATAGTTTATACCCCAAAAAAAAACTACAGTCATGAGCACAACATCCAAGGGGAACACACTAGTCCAAAAAATTAAGAGGTTACGAAAATGCTAGAGGCACAACTCCAATTACAATCCCAACCACAAACCCTCTCTCTTTACGGTGCAATGGGGTCTAAATTTTTTTTTAAAATCAAGTGTGGGCCCATTACACTGTAGAGAGAGAGGGTTTGTGGCTAGGATTGTGGTTGGAGTTGTGCATGTAGCACTACTCAAGAGGTTATTTGATTGGCCATAAATTCAAGGAAATGAATTACAAAAATTATATTTCTTATAATAGTTACATTTTTTTATTTGGTTTACATACTAAAACGAAACGGAAAGATTATATGACATATTTTTATTAGCTGACGTGACTCATATTTAAAGAAACTTGTTTTCTAAATTTTTTTAAGGAAATGAGTAAAAACTCATTTTTAGTTGTTTCCATCCTCAATTTTATTTTTCTTTATTTCAAGTAAACCAATCAAACAGCCCCTAAACAGAGAAGAAGATTATAATTTTTTCCTTTCATTATTTATTTACTTATTTTTGTTTCTGTATAGATAGAGAAAACATCCGAAATATTCTAATTACTCAACTCACGTACTTCACAGTTCGAACTCAACAAAACTTACCGTGCTCTCAGAGCATCTCCAATAGTTTTCCTAAAATTTTCTCCAAAATGAGGAAGCAAAAGTCATATTCTCCAAATTATTTTTGCTCCAACTCCAACAGCTTCTTCATTTTGAAGAATCCTACATTTATTACAATAATAAAAATATTGTACATTCCTATTTTTGGATGCTCTTATGCATTGGAACTGCCCCCATAATTTTTTTTTGTAATTACGGATTTTATTTTATATTTATTTTCTCCTCCATCCCGTCTTGAAGAACGTGCTGCATTCATGACCAAGCTTTCCCCAAATATTTAAAGAATGCCCAGATTTGGGGAAAACTCCTCTTTTTTCCTCCTCCATCCCTATTTTGGGGAATGGGATGGGGAATCTGTTGGATCAAAAAAAAACCCAAAATTTTCCAAAAGTAAGAATACCAATAAAATGGGGAAGCTGTTGGAGATGCTCTCACCACCGCGAATCACCATCTCTCAATTTCCTTTTCGATTTTCAAAAAAGAAGGAAAATAAAAATAAAAATCCAACATAACGCCAACTCATCTCCCTCGAAAACGAAGAAAAGTCAAACTTAACGGCGAATTCCGACGTACGTCATCCTCATCTGTGCGTCGTCACCAGCGTCTCGATGAATCTCAACCCATCAAGTTTGGGAGCAAATTTCTCGCTTTCAACTCCCCTTCTCGATCCCGAACCCTAATTTCCATTAAAAAAACAATCTTTAAACTCCAAAATTCTAACCAAATTTAGAAAATCCTGCGAAGGACGCAATAAAAATTTACCTCTTTAGAATTGGAAGGGAGCTTTACGTAGAGATCGGACTTGGAACTGATCGCCACCGAGAAAAAGGCGGCGACGGAGGCAGCGATCACGCCGGCGTTCTTCATCTCTTGATAATTTCAATTTTCAATCTTTCGTTTCAATTTCTCGCCGGCGAGGGATCTACGACTTTAATTTTGCGTTTTTCTCCTGATTTTATACTGGTTTCGAAATTGAAGCGGATTTAATTGGGATTTGGGTTCCGGGGTCGTTTCGCGTTTGATTGCCTTCGTTGTCGGCCCCACGTGCGCGCCAACTTAGCAGGACGTTCGGTGCGCTAGCTAGCGGGGTGAAGATCCAGTGAGAATCTGACACGTGTCAAGGTTCCAACGTGTGAAGCCGGAAGCCGTTAACGTGTGTACGTGTGATTGTGACATTTTCAAATTTACAACGTGTTCTCTGAATTGTGTGATTTTATGTTTTAGTACTTGTCAAACTTCTTATTACAGATGAGCCCAAATTTACAACGTTCCTTATATTGATCTTGCTCGCAGTCTACGTGTACTATGCATTTTGATCTTTTCCACTATAAAAAAATAGTAGATAGATCATTACTTTAATCATATTTATTGATTTATTTAGTATGCAGTTATACCCTATTGTAAATCTAGCATTCACCATACCTCAGTGAAATTGTATGCTTTCCGAATTTACATTGAAGAACAAATCATGATCACTCGCTAAATAAATCGATGATTGTTAGCAATGATTTCTCCACTACTTCTTAACACTAGGAAGAATCAGAATCCATCTATTATATAGCTGGTGTACTTAGAGCACAAAATCTATTATATAGCTAGCCGAAGATAGTTCTTAATGAGCTGACTAGTAAGCAAACTTTAACTCAACATCATGAAATTGGAGAGTAAATTGGCAAATATCTGCGTAGAGAGCCCATCTAGTGCTTATGAGGGGAAAACATGAATATGTACATTAATTTTTAAAATGTTGAAATCTAAAAGATATTTTGTTAAAATCTAAAAGACAAAATGTATATGGACATTATTTTATATGTGGACTATTAACTTAATATCCTTTTATCTTCCATCATGTATCTATAAATTATACCATGTATGGAAATGGAATGAATGAATAAAAATATTATAATTTCTATTCTTCTCTTGTCTCTTGTCTCTTGTTTTATTTTTTTAGTATATTACAACATGTTATCAGCACGAGTGGCTCTAGCCGGTTCGTGATCATCGGTTCGTAGTAATAGATTTTTAGGTGTGCATCTTCTGAAAGGTAATAATACATTCAGCTTTGTCTATTTACATAGTATCAAGCTTTCCGTTGAATGATTATGTCCAGTATGATATGCAATTCTTTGGTTTGTTTTTATACGAATCATGTGATGATGATATATTTGTTGAGTTGTCCTTTTATAAACACACAAAATACAATGTATTCTGAAAAATGGAAAGGTTGATTTTTGATTATTTTTTACATTTTTTCGGGCAATAGATTTCCAATAATACCTCCGTTGGTTTGGAATTAGCCCTTTCAATTACAATATTTTGTCCTCTGGTAGTAGGAAATTCATTGTGATATATAACATTTAATTTTGATTTTTAATTAGTGGGTCCTTGTTTAAAATAAGAGTAGTGTTACAGGCACAACTCTAACCACAATCCTAACCACAAACCCCCTCTATCTACAGTGCAATGGGGCCCACACTCGATTTTTTTTAAAAATCAAGTGTAGGCCCCATTGCACTGTAGAGAGAGAGAGTTTGTGGTTGGGATTATGGTTGGAGTTGTGCCTCTAGCATTTTTGTTAAAATAAATTTCACTAGAGGACGTCATAGCTTTTATGGGCATGCCTTGAGAAAATAAATTTCTGGCTTTCCTTTTTGGCAGCATTCTCATTTTTAATTAGCACTTTGCATTTGGTAGCATTCTTTTTATATTTCTAATAAATATGTCATAATATCAATCCTAGCTTAAAGTATATAGTTCATTGTTTTTTTTTTGAAACAATATATAGTTCATTGTTAGTTATTGTGATTAACATGTTCATTAGGATTATCATAAACCCAATTTTCTAAAATAAATTGATCTGTTGTGAACCGGTAAGATGCTTTTCATTAAGAATTGCAGAATGAATCCAATTTGCATAAAAAAATTTACCATCTATTCATATGCAATATGTTCATATGGAGAGTGTATTTCTTTTTGAGATGACTATATGAATTTCGGAATACTTTGTTTTATGGAAAAGATACATAGTTAAGCAGGGATATCGGTCACATGGCTACATATTTTCCAACAAGGGTATATGATTTTAAAAGAAATTGTCCTTGACTTTTAGTAGTTTATTCTGCCACAGTTATTGTCACCGGTTATCATTTAGTTAACATTTTTTTTAATTGACTAGTTTTTATGTAGCAAACTATATGCAGACGATTAGTTCATATTTTTCTATAATTGCCAAAACTCTTGGATAAATACACGCACTTACTGCAATGTTTTGTAATTCATTAATATATAGGACAACTCTTGACAACTCTAGTAGAATGGAATCCGACAAAAAAATCTATATAATATACATGCATATAAACCATTTATTATATGTTGATTTCATGCAGTCTGGTTTAATACAATTTGCAAATGCACACATTCTATTGATTGATCACTTATCCTAGCTAATTAGAACAGAGGCATACACTGTAACTAATTATTTGTGGCTCCTTTATTTATTCGCTTCTGTTTGTATGCACACCTTGTATAGTGCAATATTTTATAAATTTGGTGGATTGGTATATCTTCTTTTGATAATTATAGCATTTCTGAAAAATGTCTGACATCTCCAAAAGGGCATTTGCTGAGCTTGTCGTTGATGGCAGCAACTACTTGACTTGGGCCTTGGATGTTAAAATCTACCTGGATTCTTGTGATTTAAGCAGCACTATTGCTCCAGCTTAGCAGAGCACCTCTGTCCAGAAGGCAAAAGGCATTGATTTTTCTTCGTCATCATCTCAACAAAGACCTAAAAAATGAGTACCTTACTGAAAAAAATCCTGCTGTTCTATGGCAATCCCTGAAGGATCAATTTGACCAACAGACGGCTATTATGCTCCCGCAAGCACAGTATGATTGGTTGAACTTGCGATTTCAGGATTTTAAATCCGTGACTGAATACAATTCAACTCTCCACTGCATTGTCTCACAGCTGAAGCTCTGTAAGCATAACATTACAGAGGCTGAATTGATTGAAAAGACCCTCTCTACATTCCATGCAAGTAATCTTATACTCCAGCAGCAGTACATGACTAAAAACTATTCAAAACACTCTGAATTGATCTTTGCATTACTAGTTGCAGAGAAACACAACCAACTTCTGATGTGCAACCATAATGCTAGACCAGTTGGTTCGCAAGCTGTGCCTGAAGCACATGCCACAAATCAAAGTAATACTCATGGGCGTGGACATAGTAGAGGTCGTGGACGTGGTCGCGGGTCTTATCGTGGTGGTAGGGGTCGGGGTTGTCGCAATGCTTATGGTCTTTAGGACCGTGGCAAGGGTCAGAACAAGGATAAATCTCCTTCAAACAAGCCCAACTCTCATCAACAGGTTGCAAACAACAAGCAAGCTTGCTATCGGTGCGGATGTGAGGACCACTAGTCTCACACATGTCGTACACCAAAACATTTGGTTGAGACCTATCATAGAATGCTGAATGACTCAAAGGGGAAGGCAAAACAATGTGAAAAAAATCATGCCAGTTTGCTTGAAGCAAACATGACCTTGAAAGATGACAATTATGATGATAACCTGAATCTGGACGATGATGACTTATTGAAGATGGATCTTGATGATTTTGGTGATGTAATGATCGTGAATTTTTAATACTAGTTAAAGTAATTTTCTAGTATTTTAAAATATTTAATTATTATTTTTAAAAGAGTATTTGTATTTTTCTTGATTTTCTAGAAATTTTCTATGATTTAAAAATATGATTATATATTTATTTAAATGATTTTGATATTTATAAATTTATTTTGTGCGGTAAAAATTTCTAGAATTAATTTGTTAAATTATCAGTACTATTACGTAATATTCTAAATAATATATTGTATTATTAATATTATTACAAATTATTTTATATAATACATGGTATTATTAATTACGTGTTTCTGGTATAATTTATTGTATTATTTCTATTGTTACATATTATCTGTCGTATTAGTATAACTAGTACGTTTTAATGTGTATGTAATTGTCCCACAATTATTTGATTTTAAATATAAATAAATATATTTTATTTATTGATTATTCTTATTTAATTATACAATATGGATATATTTCGACTATTTCGTATCAACTGTTGTATTAGCACAACATGCACGTGTTTATTTGTAGATAATTATTATGTAATTAGTTTAATTTTTAAATACCCGTAAATATTTATTTTAATTATTTTTGTTTTAAACCCTAACCCTAATTACAATTTTATATATAGCTTATTACCCCTCTCTCTCTTCGTAATCAATTTCCGCCGCCACGTATATCTCTCTGAACTCCTCTCTCTCCACTGCCAACTCGATAGCCCTTCCACCCACGCGACCATCTGAAGCCTCTCGTCCGCTGCTCGCATCCACACCTCCGTGCCGAGCCTCCTCCCTCGATTCGATACTCGCCAAATCCCCGCGGCCCCTTCGCCGCTCCCTCTTCCTCCCGTTCGCCGCCGTCCACATCCTCTAACCTTGTCGATAGTCCCATTCTTCGTCTCGCTCCTACACCTCGTCGGTGCCCCCTTGACTTTCGACCTTCGCCTTGAGATTTCATGTCCCCACATGCACCTCTCATCCCCTCAACTCGTCCTTTCGGCTTGATCGCCATGAACCACCGCCTCGTGCCAGTTAGTCGCCTCTTGATCTCCGCCTTGGCCTGTTGTTCACCGCCAGCGCTCCTCAACGCCGCCGTCGAACTCTGAACGCCGCCGTCCACACCTCCAAGATTGCCACCACCACCCCAGCTCGTCACCAACGAACCCCCAGCCAAGTTTCTGCCCTCCGTCGCCAAATCCTCCATCGTTGCTGATCTTCGCCACTCGTCGTTGTTGTTGCTGTTGTCGTACCTCAGAAGTAGCTCTGTCGCGTCCGCATCGACGCCGTCACCTCGTCATCAGACCCCACGGTCTCGCAGGCAAGATCTCACATCCTTTGTCCCGTCTTTACTATTTTTGATATACGGTTAATTAAGTACATGCAAGATTCCCGAGCTCGATTATTATCTATCTTAATTCTTAGATTTTATTGTAGTTTATTAGGCGCAAGATCCCGCATCGATTGATTTATCATTTCATTATTTATATCTGTATTTACTAATTGCATAGATTAGACTGTTATTATCTGCGTGGTTTGGTTGATGAGTAATATTAGTAATAATGAGATAATTACTGAGTGGTTATATTCGTAAAGAGGGGGTATGATATGTATTCTGAGCCGTATGTGATGAAAGGATATTTTGATGATTATATTATAATTAATTATGAGACATTTTGAAAGAAAGAATTTTTTGTAAAGACTATTTTGAAATATTATAGTAATAAATAAATTAAAGAGTTTATTTCAGCAATGGATTCATTTTTAGGGAAATTATAATGATTTAAAAGAATTTAATTCGACAGCGAAATCTTTTTAGATAATTATATTAATTTAAAAGAATTTATTTTAAAAAAGAAATTATTTTAGATTAATTATAATGAGAAAAGAAATTATTTTGAAAGAGAGAATATTAAAAAGAATATTTAAAAAAATACTTTTTAGAATTATTTAAAAGGAGTTTATTTTGGAAAATGAACTTATGAATTATCTTTTCTTATATTTGTCGTACGTGTGAAATTCCATTTTATTGGTTATTTATTAGAATTTTAGATCTGTTATGAATTTCATGCATAGATTAAACTGTGATATGTTACTATATGCGAGGGATTTGTTGATGAATGATTGTATAGAATTTGTTGTTTTATCACCTAGTTGTTATCCAATATGAGAGACTATACATGAAGATGACTCCTGTTAAAAGTATGATTTATAAGCGTGCCTTCAAAACATGGCTGTACCATTGATATCGATATTCCGGTATGAGGTTCCATTGCTTATTACTACTATAGTATCGACTAGACGATGCACCCTTGATCGGACATGTTATGAGTCACGGTTGTTTTCATAGTTTTTACAGAAGTCGTTCCATTGTTACTCTGTGGTTAGTGCATGATATTTCATGTACAGTTACTTAATTAAACTGATAAACATGGGGATATAAAGGGGAATTGGACGAAAAATATAACATTTATATAAACGGGCATATGCGCTTTCTTTATATTGTGAGTTATATATATACTTGGGCCGGAGAGCCAGACTTGACTTGAGGGCGGCCCCCGGACGACTTTACGGGGACCCGATTATATATATGAAAATATTCTTCCCCAATTCAAATAACATGTAAAACAAGAATAATATGTTTGCGTGTGTTATGGTGGACTTTGTTGGTTTTATGAGATGTAGACTAGTTGTATTTCTGTTCATACATAGATCGGGATTAATAATTAATTACCTACAATTTGAGACATAAGGTATATACATGAGGGTTTCCTTGTTTAGATTATTTCGCTCGACGTACTACGTCTCAAGTTATAGGTATTGAAGTATTAATTCCATCTAGCTGTGTGATTTGGATACTTGGATGATTACCCTGTTAGCTAGCTGCGTGATCTTGACACTTGGATGGTTTTCTTAGATTATTCTGATGATTTTATTCAAGTGATAGATTGCATTTAGATTATTAGTAATTCATTTGCATATTATTATTATTATTATCACTGTTTTTGCTTTGGTCGTTCGATCGTCCCTATTTCTCTCTATGGGATCTTGCCGTGTGTCACACACACGCTGACGTACACCTGTTTTTCTCTGGTGTACGTCAGATTTAGGAGATGAACAACCTCAGTTCGAGATAGTACATGAGCCAGAGGATTTGCAGCAATAAGGTCTTCCAGATGAATCAGAAGAACAATCTGAAGCTTAGACTTTTCTTTCTGTAGTAGTTGATGAGCGCTAGATCTCTTTTGCAGAACCTTACTTTAGTCTGATGTTGGACTTAGTTATTTTAGCAGTACTTTCCTTTTATTGGACTATGTATTTTTATATTTTTAGTTGGACTGTTTTGTAATAAGGGCGTGTTTGACCCATATTTTTATGTCTGGGATGATTTACTATTGATGATATGTCTATTTCTTATTCTGGATTGTTATTATATTCTTGCTATGTGTGATCGGGGACCTGTGACTTCGTATATTATATTTTTGACGCTTAGCGTATTAGATTGAGAAGAATGATTTATTTATTTGTTCTCCTCAATCTAATACGTCGCGGGCTTGTTCGCGTCCCGATTCCCCGGTATTTTGGGAAGCGGGGCGTGACAGTGACCAGGAGTGATCATGTTATTTATCATTATCTATGCATGTTTTATTAGTCTATTTCGTTTTTCAGACTTGTTCTAGTTGCTTTTGTTAAGATAATTTGGAATTTTTCTAGACTTATTTTACATGTTTTTGTAAGACAATTTAAGTTTGTATAGGTTTTTTAAATGATTATTCCCCCTTACCTTATTTTTGTTGTGCTTATATGAATATTTCATTTTTTTTAAAATAGCACGACAACTCTCGCATACAACTCATGGAGAAGGAGATTATTTTGTGCTTGATAGATAGTGCTACCACACATACTATTCTGAAAGATGGAAATTTTTTCCAAACTTTGACTGAAAAACAAGAAAGTGTAACCACCATTGCTAACGACAATGTGTTGATAAGTAGGCTCTGGCAGTGCTTCACTAATACTTCCTATGGGTACGAAATTAATTATCAATGATGCATTATTATGTCCAGAATCCAAACGTACCTTCTTAGTTTTAAAGATATTCAGTCTAATTGAAACTGAAAATAAGAATGGTGCTAAACATCTTCTCATGACTCAGTCAATTAGATATCGAAAGCAGGTTGTAGAGAAGCTTCTATCTTTCTCCTCAGGGTTGTACTACACATATATCCGACCTAATACTAACCATGTTGCGATGATTTTTTAAGATTTAGGGACCCAAATTCTTTTAAATTCTAGCATGAGCTTTGGGTCATCTTGGGAAAAATATGATTTATCGGATTTTCTTAAATTAAATGGGGCATTCAAACCAAATCTGACCAACTACATATCACAATTTTCCCCCTTTATCTAATACGTGGTGAAGAAGCGAAATATTTCCCATCTGCGTATTCTTTATTTGCAGTCCATATTTCTATATCACCATCATAGCGTACCTCTATGGGATCTCGGTGAAGGTACATACATTATTTATGAAACTCTATCAATAATTTAGTACCTATGGCCTATATTAGGGGATTAATTTATAATTTGGTATGCTGACTATATTTTTATTGAAGATCAATTCTCGACATTAGGGGGAGATTAGTGCCCAAAATACAAAATAATGTCAAGAAATTCCATTGA